GATTGCTTTAGGTAATATAGACGTTTTAACTATGTTTATTCTTCCAATCCATGTGCATGGGATGTCTTTCCATTTCTTTATGTCATCATCGATTTCTTTCCACAATGTCCTGTAGTTTTCATTGTATAGGTCTTTCACCTCCTTGGTAAGATTTATTCCTAGATATTTTATTCTTTTTGATGCAATTGTAAATGGTATCTTTTTGAGCTCTCTTTCTGTTAGTTCATTATTAGCATACAGAAATGCAACTGATTTTTGTAGATTGATTTTGTACCCTGCGACTTTGCTGTAGTTGTTGATTATTTCTAATAGTTTTCCAATAGATTCTTTAGGGATTTCTATATATAAAATCATGTCATCTGCAAATAGTGAGAGTTTCACTTCTTTGTTGCCTATTTGGATTCCTTTTATTCCTTTTTCTTGCCTAATTGCTCTGGCCAAAATCTCTAGTACTATGTTGAATAAGAGTGGTGAGAGTGGGCAGTCTTGTCTCGTTCCTGGAGAACGTTTATTAATGATTGATTTCTAGCTTACTTTCATCGTGCTCAGAACATACACTGTATTATTTTATCCATTGAAATTTGGTGAGATTTGCTTAATGTCCCATTATATGGTCAATTTTGGTAAATATTTCATGTGCACTTGAGAAGAATGCTTTTTCTGTAATTGTTGAGTACAGTGTTCTAAATATGTCAATTAGGCTAAGTTTGTTAACATTTTGTTCACATCTTTATCTCTGATTTTTTTATCTGCTTGTTTCATCAGTTGTTAAGTGTTATAAGGATGAGTATTATAATCTCCAACTATAAGTGTTGATTTGTCTTTTTCTCATTTTAATTCTGTTCATTTTTTGTTCACATAGTTTAAGGTTATATTACTAGATGTGTATTAATTTAAGATTATTTAAACTTCCTGAAGGATTTAACATTTTATCATTGTGATATGTCCCTCTCTATATCTGGTAATACATTGTGCCTTGAAGTCTATCTTGTCTGATAATAAAACAGCTAAACCAACTTACTTTTTTTCCAGTTTTATTGAGATATAGTTGACATTTAACTTTGTATTAGTTTAAAGTGTGTAATATAATGATTTATGTATATATTGCAAAATGATTACCACAATAAGTTTAGGTAACATCTATCACCTCACATAGTTATAAATTCTTTTTCTTGTGATGAGAACTTTCAAGATCTAAGTGTCCATCAACAGATGAATGGATAAAGAATACTATTTAGCCATAAAAAGAAGGAAATCCTGCCATTTGCAACAACAAATACATATAAATATATGTATCTCTTGTAAGTAGGATACAATTAAATTTGGTTTTGATAACCAGTCTGACAATCTTAGTTTTTAAACTTGATTCTTGGACCTTGCCCCCAGATATTCTGATTCAGAGTTATACATGGTGCCCAGGAATCTGCATTTTAAGAAGCACCTGAGGTGATTCTGATATAGGTGAATAGTGCTTTGAGGAAGACTGGGATAAGAGAAAAGCTACAAACTACCTATACCAGAAATGAAAAGAGGAATATTACTAAAGATCCTACATATATTGAAAGACAACAGAGGATACAAGAATAATTTTTTTGACAATTTTCATGAAATGGATAAATTCTTCCAAAAATGTAAGTTACCAAAATTAACAAGAAAAATATAGTCATTTTCATATTTTCTTTAATGCTATTTAAAAATTTCCCACAAAAAAAACTTTAGGCTCAGATGTGAATTCTTTCAAATATCTAAGCAAGAAATAAGACCAATCTTACATAGACTCTTCCAGAGAATAGATACAGAAATAACACTTTCCAACTCATTTTATGAGGCTAGCATAATAATCCTGATATCAAAACCCCACAGGAAGATTATAAGAAAGGAAAATGATAGGCCAATCTGTCTCATGAATTTAGATGCAAATATTTTAAAAAATATTAGCAAACTGAATCTAGCGATATACGAAAAGACCAATACATCAAGACCAAGCTGGATTTATTCCAAGAATGCAAAGTTGGTTTAACATTTAAAAGTCAATCAACATAATTGATCATAGTAACAAAATAAAGCAGGAACATTACAATTATCATGAAAAAACAACGGATAAAATCCAACGCTGGCTCATGATACAAATTCTCATCAAAATAGGAACAGAAGGGAATTTCTTTAACCTGATAAAGCATATCTACAAAAAATCCTACAGCAAACACCATACCTAATGGTATTACGTTGAAAATTTTCCGAGATTGGGAATGAGACAAGGATGCCCATTTTCACCACTTCTATTCAACATTGTACTGGAGATTTAGACAATTCAATAAGAAAAGGAAAGAAAAAAAACATGACAAAAGGTAAATTACATGAGCAGACTGGGCTCTGGGTGGGGGATAAGAGGGGCAGGGCAGGGGTAAAGAGGGGGGCAGAAAATTGAACAATTTCAGTTCAATTTCAACTTCAACTTATAAAGTACTATACCTTAACTTCACATCTATTAAGTTTCTCTGATCCTCCCAACAAACCTGCAGGCTAGATAAAGCAGGCGTTATTTACCTCTATTTTGTGGATGACATACTAAGGCTCAGAGAAGTAAACTGATTAGTCTGCAGTCACTCTTTAAGAAGCAAAAGGCAAGACGGGGATCGACTCAGGAGGTGGGAGTTTAAAGGGAGCTAGAAAAGTCCAAAGAGAAACTTGTGAAGAACTTGCTACTGGGTGTCCCAAACTTACAGAAAGTTGCCACTGAACTCATTATCTGGAATTTGTTTTTTTTCTATATCTAAGAATTTGGGAACATAGCAGGCTGAAATGACACTGACTTCAAATTCATAGAAATGCCATAAAAATATTTTTAAAAATAAAGAGGACAAGCTCAAGAAAGGAAAATCCCCAGATGCTAGAAAAGAAGACAAAACTTAAAATCAGAGTGAGAAGTGGGAACTGACCCAGATTCAGATATAGCTTCAGGGGCTGGTCCCTGGAGTTTTAGTGCCCATCCAGGAATAGAGATTTGTTCTCTGTATATGTGGGTGAGTGACAAAGACAAGACTGTAGCTCCCTTCATGAAACCTGGACCCTTGATGAGCTTCCCAGTCAGTGCAAGAGAGTAGGAAAAACTCTATCCACCGGCTCAGGAAGGCAGGAAAAACTTTCTATTGGGGCCCTTGGGTAGGGGTGGTAGAGAGTAGATAAAAGGTCCACAAGAAATGGAAACCACATGCCCATGCTTCAATCAGATATTGGGGGAATTTACATTATCTAGATGGCATGGAAACTCCTAGCTGAGAAATTACAAGGACCACTGAAATCCCTAGTGCTCTGGCAGCAACAGAAATGAAAAGGCACTGTTCTTTCACAACACAGCATATGGGACTTCCACAGGGAAGAGGAAAAAAATCCTGTTGAAGATGTGATCATCTTTAAGAACTACAAACTATACAAACACACATTTTCATGAAGTAGAGTCAGCATACACAGCAAGTAGAACATCCACAACCCACCCAGAAAAAAATAGAACCATCCAAAAGAAACCATAAAATAGTATGTTAAAAATGATTAAAATAAAAAGTAAAACCATAATGAAAGATCAAGATATTTTGAAAATTATCAACATTTGAAAAAGAACCAAAAGGAACATCTAGAAATTAAAAATTACAGTTACTAAAGTGAAAAACTGAGTGGATATATTAAAAAGCAAATTAGACATAGTTGAAGAGATTTTTGGTTAACTGGAAGGCACATATGAGTACATCACCCAGAAGGCACCAAGGAGAAATAAAGAATAGAAAACATAAAAGTGCAATTAATAGATATAGAGGACAAGGCCGGCCCCGTGGCACAAGTGGTTAAGTGCGTGCCCTCTGCTGTGGCGGCCCGGGGTTTGCCGGTTCGGATCCTGGGCGCGCACTGACACACTGTTTGTCGAGCCATGCTGTGGCGGCATCCCATATAAAGTAGAGGATGGGCACGGACGTTAGCTCAGGGCCAGTCTTCCTCAGCAAAAAGAGGAGGATTGGTATCAGATGTTAGCTCAGGGCTGATCTTCCTCACACACACAAAAAAAGATATAGAGGACAAAAATCTAACAGAAGTTCAAAAGGAGAGGATAGAGGGAATGAGGGAAGACCAACAAACAATGGCTGAAAATTGTGAAAAATGAAGACAGATATGAGAAGCACAACAACTTCTGAATAGGATGACTAAAAACTAATCCACACCTAGACACAGATTAGTGAAACTACAGAACATCAAAGACGCTATTAAAAAAAACCTTTTAAAAGCAACTAGAGAAAAGAAATTACCTTAAAAATGAATAATAATTAGGCTGACAGAAGACTTCTAATTAGCAGCAATATAAGTCAAAGACCTTGGAACAATAGCTTCAAAGAACTGAAGGAAAATAACTGTCAATCTAGCTACCTACCATTCCTTCCCTATTTATTTCTTAGCTCAACAGAGAGAGGTATGCCAGCAGAAGAGACACTTAGGATGAGCTGGAATTAGCAAACACCAACAATATCTGGGAAGATACTTAATTCAATGGAAACTGCACCTGTGTCTCCTATATGTGAAGTGGAACAGATGACCTTTGCCTCTATACTATATTTCTAGCCAAAAGTTGGCTGTCTCAGTGGCAGAGGCTTAGGCAGAATTATTTATGGAACATGTTAAGTGAACTCTAGATATATAGCATAGTAATTAAAATTGAAATCTCTGGAATCAGACTAATGGGGATCAAATCTTGACGTCGCTTGTTACGCATTGAGTTAATTTGGTCAAGTTACTTTACTCCTCTATGCCTTAGTTTCTGTAGCTATTCAAAAAAGATTAAATAAGCAAAGACATGTAAAGCATTTGGCATGGTATCTAGCACAGAATAGGTGCTTAATAAAGCTCAGGCATTATTATTACCTAGTCTTGACTAGAGTACTGTAATTTGATCATGCAGTTTGAAGGAGTTATCTTTAACATGACTACAAAAAAACTAAAATATAAGAAACACGTACTCTGACATCCACTGAGCAGCCCACAGTCCATGATGGATTTCCCAGCACTTGATTTTGGCACAGAAGATGAACTAGTGAAGATTTCCCAACCCCTGAAAAAGATATGAGAACTCTGGTCATATAAGAGACATGCTGAAATCTATTATGGCAAAAACAAGACTGAGAATATGCAGTAATAATGGTATGTAAAGTATGGTTGTTTAAAGGATTTCACCATACCAACCATTTAATAAGCTTTATTGATAAAGAGAAGATGGTCGAGGACAGTGGTTCTCTTAAATTTAGCATCAGAATCACCTGGAGGGCTCATTAAAACACAGAATGCTGGGTCCTGCCCCTAGAGTCTCCGATTCAGCAGGCCTGTCTTGGAGCTCAAAGATTGCACTTCTAACAAATTCCCAGGTGATGCTGATGCTACTGGTCCAAGGGCCTCACTTTGAGTACTAGTCTAGGGGAATTTCATATGAACTAATCCCTTTCCTTTCGAATGATTTCATCTATTTAGCCTATTTTAGAATTGTAGAATATTAACAGATCTTGGAGGTCATCCTCTATCCTGACCACCAAGGCAGAAGTCCCTACCACAGCACCTTGTTAGATAGTCTTTCACATTGTGCTTGAACATTGTCAGTAACAGGGACTCATATTTCACAATTCCATACTTAAGACACTTTAGTTCTTCCACACAGTGATTTTTAAAAGGGAGCCAACCATTTGGCCCAGACTTACCCTGTGGAAAAAGAGAACAACTCTACTCCCTCTTCTACAACATGGCCCTTTATCTTAGGGCAGCATTTTATTTTCTTTTAGAGCTCCTGGATTGAGGGCAATCTAGTTATTAATGCTAGGGCTAGCATTCTGAGATCTGTATGAAGAGGAAAGGAAACAAGTTCTCCCTGTACATCCATGTGTAGTCACTCATTCAATTAACAGCATTTTGAGATACCATCATGACAAGCATGATTGGTGAATCTTGATGCATCACTAGTTGTATCAAAATTTAGACCATCCCTTTGTGTGCATTGTGTGTGTATGAAACTATCACTTATGTTTATTTTTTATTATAAAAAGTTATATTTACAGATAATCTAGAAAGTATTAAAAAAAGAAGGAAAAAATCACCTGAAGAGCACTGTTGTCAACAAGTAGGTTTATTTAATTCCATAAGCAGGGTTTTTCTGTAAGCAGGTTGTGACCGTGAATATATACACGGTGTACTTAGCAACAATAAAACATAAGCCTTTGTTTACACAGCTGGTTCTGTTTGGAATATCCTTTCCATCTTCCCCCCTCCATTTCCCCTCTGTTGGCCTGGTGAATTATTTTCAAGACTCAGCAACATTCTAGTTACAAAGTCTTTTCTGACTCCACACAGGTAGAACTGAGCACATCATCCACCATTGTCTGGGTCTCCACTGTATCCTGTACATTTTTCTACAGAGCACTTAAACACATTATTGCACTTGTTTGTTTATAGGTTTTATTCACTCTGTTTAAGTTCTCTGAGGATTGGGACTGGGTTTTACTTATCTTTTTATCTCCAGTACTCAGAACATGGCCTTAATTAGTATTTATTTAGTGACTAAAATTTTCCATGTTACTACAGAATCCTCCTAAACATTTTTTTTTTTTTTTTGTGAGGAGATCAGCCCTGTGCTAACATCCGCCAATCCTCCTCTTCTTTTGCTGAGGAAGACGGCCCTGGGCTAACATCTGTGCCCATCTTCCTCCACTTTATATGGGACGCCGCCACAGCATGGCTTGCCAAGCAGTGCGTCGGTGCGCGCGGGGGATCCGAACCAGCGAACCCCGGGCCGCCGCAGCGGAACGCGCGCACTTAACCGCTTGCGCCACCGGGCCGGCCCCCCTCCTAAACATTTTTAATGTTTCCATTGTAGTTCAGAGAGTTGACATGACAATTTACTTAACCACTCCCTCATTATTAGATATTTAGGGTGTTCTGAAATTTTACTATGCTAAGAAAAGATTTCTATTCAATGTTTAAAATTATTTCCTTAGTATACCTTCCCAGAAGTGAAATTAATATGTAAAAGGAAGTGCACATTTAAAGCTCTTGCTATATATTGACAGCTGTCATCTGGTTACTCTGCCACCAGACACACACACAAGCCTGCAGGTCTTGTTGTACCTCAACAGCACTGTGTAGGTGCTTTTTCATCTTTGTTAATTTGATAAGAGAAAAAAAGGGACATCTCGCTTTAGTCTGCATTTCTCTACCTTCTGGTAAAGATACACATTATGATCATCTTTGTTAATCACTTGTCTTTCTCTCTTATGAATTATCTATTCATGTGCTCTGCCCATTTATCTACTGGGTTTTAGTGCTATCAGTTTACACAACCTCCTCATATATTAGCCGTCTCCTGTAATTGATGAAACATTTTCCCAGGTCTCCCTTTTATTCGTCTTCTTTTTTTACATACAGACATTTAAGATTTTTGTGTACTCAAACTTAGCTTTGTCTTTGTATTTACTGCATTCCATCTGTGACCGTCAGGGCATACTGTTGATATTTGTGTTTGCATGTAGGTTTATGTTGGAGACATATATCTAGGCATTTAGTTATCAGCTTGATGCAAGGCTTGAGCTTCTAGTAACGCTTAACTGTGTCAGAGTAAACATCTTTATGCAGTAATACTGTATAGCTCTCCATGAATTAACTTTGGGTGATAAGAGTTAGCTAACACTGGATGAACTCTAAACAGTAAGAACAACTGAAGTACCAGGAACAATGGCTAACTATTTATTTATTTAAGAATTTTGGGAGGTTCTGATTCTATGTTTTCACCATTAGAACTAAATTAGATCAAAAGAATGCACTTGGTTTGCTGGGGGGACAAAGGCCCAATATAATGAAATAAATACCAGCTCCAAATATAATTGTTGGTAATGTGTTATGCTCATCTCTTATCTCTGAAAGAACAAAGAGAAAACAGTATTTGCGGATTAGTGACACTTTCATGATTCCTAACTAAATTAGCAAATATCTCTATGGGATACAAAAACAAATCTCTAAGTCCCAAGTCATTCCTTTACATATTTGTGAAATCCTCAAAATTTCATGAGGGAAATAAGCCTTTATTCAAAAGTAAACTTTTAAGTTTGAATACAAAGGCAGATGAAGTGTAAAAAGTATATTCTAACCTGTCAGATAGCAAATCACTGTTAAAAGGGAACTGATAAAAAGACAGTAACTGACTTGGCACATAGCTTAACATCACTGAATGTGTGACGAGATTAATCACTTTTCCTGGTGGGCATGGCTGCGACTTCTGTTTTATAACTAAACTATAATGGGGAAAAAAAAAGCTTACTAATTGCCTGATCACTTTTCTACATTTAATGCAGCAGCCAATTCAACTCTGTTATGTAATGCATTGATGTCACAGTTATAACCCCAGCACCTAATACAGTGCCTGCTATGTAATAGGTACTTAAGTATTTTTGGAGGAAAAAAAAGAATAAACCGACTAGTTCCAACAATATGTAACATGGAGGGATCGTTAGATGCAATGGAAAAGGGAATTATAAATGAGTGAGAACACCCACTTCACATATCATAAAGAACCATGTTAGCTCTGGATTCCAGTTCTAAATCCTACTTGATGATACTCTTGCCAAGTCTCTTCAAACTACCACTACTTTCTTCATCCGTAAAACTGAGTAATTTTATTAAATAAACATCACCACTTCAAGCTAAAGAATTGGAATTGACACAAATTGGATTAGGTTAATAGAATTTCCTAATGCAACTTTCTTAAGGGAATATTAAACAATGCTCTCTGTAAAATTTTTCACAATACGAATAGTCTTCAGGCAACGTGAAAACGTTCTTAACCTTCTCCCCTCCCTAATAATTTTGTTCAGTTCTTTAAGGCTACTTCTCAAGCTCTTTGGGGTATGTCCTCTCCACTTCCAATCATCTGGCACAACGTCTTTGCTCATAGCACACATTCAAAGGTCAACTCCAGAAAAGCACATCTATGAAATGCACAGTTAGCATTTATTCCAATTTCTTAGGAGCATAGGAGTGGAGGTTATAGTGAGAAAGAGAAGATAGTGAGGGGGGAGGGAGAAATGCAGACTTCAGTTCTAGTTCTCAAATGTCCAAGGTGTCAAAAGAATTTTAACACTAGGATTAAATTGGGCTTAGCTTCATAATATCGTCTTTATCTTAATTTCTCTATTTCTTACAACTTAGCACATAATGGGCTTTCAATTACGATTAAAGAGAACAAAGAAATAAAGAAGCCCAGCTGAGAGTAAAATAGGACTACCACCCAATATCTCATTTCATAATATCGCTTAGTATAAAGTACAGGGACTCTGGGTTCAACTTGGTTCTATCATTTACATCTCTCTGCCTCACTTTTCTCACCTGTAAAATAGGGTAATAGGGCTGATCTCAGGATTAAATGAGTTAATGCATGCAACGCATTTGGAACAGTGTGTAAAAATTGACTATAGTGGAGCCATTAGAGTTGGAGCTGCCTTTCCAGAAAAACTGCTTTGCTGTCTTGAACCTTGGACTGGGCCAAACCTTTGGACCGGGCCAAAACTGCAATTGTTTTACAAGCAATTGTTTGAGAAGTCAGCAGGAGAATCGATAACTAGGTAGCAAAGACTGAAGATGCGGACTTTCTGAAGATAGAATCAATAAGCAGTCAATGTTTAGCCAAGACTAGCTCTCTGCCTCCAACTGCAATTAAAACTCTTTGTAATACAACCTCCCTTTGCCTTTAAAAGCCCCTGACTTTTACTCCCTAGCGGAACATGTTTTGGATTTCTATCTGAATCTGTGTCTCTCAAACTGCAATTCTAATTGCCCAAATAAATATCTGAGGCTTAAATTGTAGTGATTTTTACTCGGTTGACAAGTGTCATCCTTCTTAGTGCCCGTTTGACCTCCTTAAGGAACAAAATCTCTTGAGGGCATAGTCCTAACTTCTGTCTCCTTTGCCCGACGCCCAATACAGTACTCAGTGTGAGCATATCTTTTAAAACAAAGGAATTGACAATACACGCTAGTCGCCAAGGAGACCAACGTGGAGAGTTTCCAAGGCGAGGAAGGGCCGGGGCTCTACGCCCCCCACCCACACGACGCCGCTGCTGCGTCAGAGCAAAGTCCTCTGGGAAGTGTAGTCTTTAGGGTTGAGAGGGCTTTCCGCCACAGGCCGGAGCCAGTTAGTTGGAGGGGACGGACTAGTGAAGCGGGAAGGTTATCGAATAACTCAAAAGTGCCGGGAGCCCCAGAGTTGGGTTAAACCGCTCACCTGAGTCTCCCAACACCAGTACCTTCACCCGATCCAGGGACGCCATCTTGCCACAACCATGCCGGAGTTAACGCCTGTTCCTGGATTGTAGGCCAATCAGAGCTGAGTATGGACGGCCGAGCCTTCAATTTCATTGGCCAATCGGAGCGCGACTGTCTTGATTGAAGGCTTCTCTGTGCTGATTGGCCCGCCTGGTTAAGAGTAGCTGTGGTTTCCAAAGCTGGTCGCAGGTATAATGCGTTTTCTTTGTCGCACGGGTGGCGTGGCTCGTTTAAGCCGGTAGTTGAGGCGCTGAGGGAAGCTGTAGTGGGAGTGTTCGAGGATTCGCTTTGGTAAACCTTATTCCCTGTTCCTTGTTCTCGGTTCCCTGACCCGGAGCCGCATTTCAGGGTTTCTCCTTCTCTTCGCTCCTCTCTTCTTAGCTACCTTCCTCCTCTTAGCTCCTCTGTTGACTTGGTCCTCTTGTTGGTCCTCCAAAGAACCATTGACCCCGGAGCGGCCCCGTGTGCGACCTCGGGTAGGACGGCCTTGGCTGCGACGAGCGTGGCCCCCGGACTCAGCTGGCAGAGTCCGAGGGAATCTAGGGCCTCGGGGGCTCGCAGTGGGGAGGAGTGAACATTACTGAACCGGGCTCGTGGAGGGCAGCTGGTCCGGAGGTTTCGCGGTGATAGCCGCTTTATGTAGGAAGGCGTGGAGACTACTATGAAATATGGTAACTGAGAAAACCACAGTTAGATGTATAGAATCCAGGTTCTAGAACTGGAATAGTGGTATACTGAAATAATCTACCTGGGCTCTCCGCATCCACTCCTTTTTCCTTTTATTTTTCACCCTGCAGTCAGCATAATCTTTTAAAATCGCGAATTTGATCCAGTCACCTCCTGCTTAAAACCATTTGAAGTTAATGAAGAGGGTTTCCAATAGCCTATCTTTTACTCTGGAAGCAGCAGTGGAGGAAGTGAATTGGGGGAAGCTGGCAGGGTGGGCATGTTAGAAGAACACGTGCTTAGGGGATCTGTTGAAAGTTTTATGGAAGTACTTGCCTAGCTGTGCTGGAGGCTGGAAAGTCATTGGTGAACTATTGTAAGCCCCTGGTCTCAGAGATAGACATGGAGAAAAGTACAAGTCTACGCACCTGAAGGAAGAACGGGAAAGAGCTATGGGAACGTGTGGAAGGGAGTCATACTAAGCTACTCGGGAATCTGGAAAGGTCTCTGAGGAAATGTCATTTGAGATATGAAGGATGGCTAGGAGAAGGGAGTTTGGGCTTAGATTTGGGGGCAGAAAGAACAGCATGTGCAAAGGCCTGGAAGTGGGGAAAGCATGTGTGGCTCATAGAATTGAGACAATGCCAGTCTGTCTGGAGGTGAGGTTGACAAGGGTAGACAGAGTGCAGAGAATGCATTCATTTCAACATTGTTTCTCCAACTCGGTGCCTGGTACACAGTAGTCCTTAAATGTTTTTATGATTAGAATACATATGGTTCAAAAACAAAACCAACTTGCCTTTGGGGTCTGGGCTGGGTAGGGAGATAGGTGAGGCTGGGAGATGACTGATGGACTCTGAGACTAAAAAGAAGAAACGGGCTAGCCCTGAGAAGTCACACACTCAAAAGTCTCCAGAGGCCAGCCAAGCTCCTTCCCTGTTTAAAACTGTCGACTGCTCTTCAGCTTATTGTTTCCATGTGGTAGCATGGCTTCACGTTTTTCCTCAGATATTTCCAGTTTTCAAGAGGAGCTGAAAGTTGAATTTTATGTTAAATCTCACGATTTTTAAATGTTGACAACAATGTAATTGTAATTCAGAAAATTTTCAAAACATACTTTGGGTTAAACAGTGTGGCACAGGATGCCAGTTTGAGACCTCTGACCTAAGTAACTTAAGAAATCCAGAGATTGAGGAGGAGATTCAGCATAAGTGGGGAAGTAGAAGTGGTGGAGGAGAGAACGCAGTGGTCAGGAAGGAGGATTTTAGAACACAGATTTTGAACAAGGTGGCACAGCATGACTTCTTTCCTGAGCTCCAGGTTCATTTGTTCAGCTACCTGCTGGACATCTTCACCAGAATATTCTGTGGTATCTCCTCAAAGACTAGCAACTAAAAGTTGAATACCTCGTTTCTTCCAAACCTGTTCCTCTTCAGGTGTTAACCTATTTCTCATACTAGTACTTTTCTCTTTCTGGATACACTGGCTCAAAGCAAATAGCTACATGTTATTGTTTAATAACATATTAAACTATGTTATTGTTTAATGGGTATAGCATTTCAGTTTTACAAGATGAAAAGAGTTATGGAGATGGATGGTGGTGACAGTTGCACAACCTTATGAACGTATTTAATACCACTGAACTGTATACTTAAAAATGGTTAATTGGTAAATGTTATGCGTTTTTTACCATGATAAAAAAATTGTAAAAAAAAAACACCCCTAAATAGCTATTTAAATTTTTCCTACCCTGTTACTCCATTTCCAATATTATTGGGTCCTTTTGATTTTGTTTCGATAATAAGTTTCATTCATCCTGTCCTCTTACAGTCGTGCTCTCCTCCGCAGCTTAGGTTTGGTTGCTGTATCTCCTCATACCTCCACAGTGCCTGCATCTTCACTTACTTCAGTCCAGTTTTCATATTGTTGTCAGAGTCACTTTCCTAAATAGGGGGTCTTATTCTGAATGCCAATACATAATGGAACTCTTATATCAGCCTTACATCTGCTTTCAAATCAGAACACTTTACACGAATTATGTTATTTCATCCATCCATCAACTCTATGAAGAAGGTGCTGTTTATCACTTTTTATATATGAGGAAACTGAGACTGAGAATTTTCCAAGGTCCTGGGCTAAGAAATGATGGAACTGGGATTCAAAACTCAAAACAATTGGATTGTGGAGTCCTCATGTCGCTCCCTTGCTCAAATCTTCAGGGCCCCCTAAGGTGTTTCAGGCAAAGGAAACAGGCTGAATGATAAGTGGCACCGGGTCCTCCCCATGCGGGATGTGCATTGCCAGTATATGTAATAGCCAGGCACCAGATTTGTCTGGAGCAGTGGTCAGGGACTTTTTCTGTGTATTAGAGATACCTAAAGAACTTTTAAAATAAGATAATTGCTTGATCTGGCCCTCCCAGCCCAGCTGAAAGAGAATCTCTGGGATTGGGGCCCAGGGTGGATATTTTTAAATGCCCTGCAGATGATTCTGCTTTACAGCCAGGGATGAGAATTATTGGTCCGGAAAATGGAGTGTGTGGAGTGGAAGATCAGGGAGGGGAATACAATAGTAGGAAATAACCCTGGAAAAGTGGGTTATTTTGACATTTGTCTGCCATTCTTTGGTCTGTTGGAAGTTTCTGAAGCCATATGTTGTGTTCTGCCAACTGTTGAGCATGTGAAACAAAACAAACCAAAACTGGATTCAAGTACAATGTATAACCAAATTGGAAAGGAGAATAAAATGTATCCAATAGCTACTTTGGTGTTGACTCCAAGCACTTGCTTGACACCCTTAAGCCTTGGGATGATGAGAAGGCTCTAGGATCACAGGTTTTGATCTAGGTGCTACTTTGTTATCTCTTGTATATAGTCATGCCTGAGTATTTACAATCTGAAATATATATTATAACTGACTTTCCTTTTATTTTTCCTTTATTACAAGTAGGGCATTATATTTTTCTCCAAAAAACTATGTGTGTAGATTGGTTATTTAGGAATATCTTTTTAATGTACAGTGGATATAAAAATATTTCTTACAAAAAGATTAAATCTGATAAGGTTGATGATAACCACTGATTTTAAATAAAAGGTTCAATAGAAACTAGTGTTAATAACAGAAGATGATTCCCTATTGAAATAGTTCAATGGGATGTCTCTGTTAAAAATTTCCCTATGGTGTAGGGAAATTTCATTTGACATAGTCTGTGTGGATAGCCTGGTCATTTTTAGTTTCGGGCCTTTTAAATCGATATGGAGGCTATCCTTATTAACAGGTGCTTCCTAAGCACATTACTTACATTCTCATTTATTCATCACAACAGCCTCATTGAGGTACTTGATATCTGTATTTCTCAGAGAGTAAACTGTGGCTTGCAGTTGTTTAAGGGTTTTGCTTAGGTTCACACAGCTACTGAAACAAAACACAGGCTGTCTAACTCTGAATTCCAAAGCCCAGGCTTTTGAACAACATATGAAAGTCTAGCCCATGCCAGTTTGGGCTTCTAGAAGACAGGTTTCTGGGTCATGACAGGAGAATTGTGTACAGTTAGCTTCTGCTTTGTCCTGCAAGGGATCCAGCATTTAAGAATATCTTGAGCTTTTTTTCTTTTTTAAGGACTGTATGGTGTTTACTTAATTGGTCATCAGATTTAACTTTGCAAGGTTGGTAAAGCTATCTGGATCTAAGTGTTAATTTCTTTCAGATTTATAACAGTGATTTTGCCAAACACCCCAACTGGTGATTACTTATACTCTTATTGGTTTGTTATGATTTTATTGTGAGAGCATGACTATGTAAAACATCCTAGAATCTATCTTGGTAGAAGAATTTTACTCAAGAAAGACACTTTAAGGATATGCTAACTGCTGGGTTTCTCGGGGGGGTTCCAGCATTCCAGATCCCAAAGATCTATAGCATTAAGAACAGTGAGACTTCATTTAGCTTTTTCGTGTGTCTCTTTCTGAAGTGGGCTTGATATATTGTATCATTGCTACAAGTAATAAGTTACTTTTTCGGATCAAGCACACTGTAGATCATGAAAATAACTTTAAGAAATATGTCAGGGCCGGCCCCGTGGCTTAGCGGTTGAGTGCGTGCGCTCCACTGCTGGCGGCCCGGGTTCGGATCCCGGGCGCGCACCAATGCACCGCTTCTCCGACCATGCTGAGGCCGCGTCCCACATACAGCAACTGGAAGGATGTGCGGCTATGACAGACAACTATCTACTGGGGCTTTGGGGGAAAAATAAATAAAATCTTTAAAAAAAAAAAAAAAGAAATATGTCAAACTTTTTAGATGTAATCTTTTGTGTACTCTAGAGGAAAATCTTGTTCTCTGTTAAATGCTTAGGTATTACATCTTTTAAAACAATGTTTTGAGTACCTTTGTGGCACTCCAAAAATAGTGGTAGCTACCAGC